GGAATATCTCTAAGCAAAAGAAAAATCTAATTCGAGGATTTCTGCTTGAATATAAATAAACCAAAAAATAAAAACAATTGTCTAAATTTTTAATGAAAGAAAAACATGTAAAAGTGCCATTCAACTTGAGCGAGACAAGTTTAAAAATGGGCGCAATGATTGAAAAAAACGCCGCATAATAGAGAACTTATTCCAGAGACTAAATTTAGGAAAAAGTTATTTTTTCTCCACCTAGAACTGTTTTGGATACGCTACTGGTAGTAGGTTAGGTTAGGTTAGGTTATTTCAGAAACTAAATTTAGGAAAAAGTTAATTTTTCTCCACCTAGAACTGTTTTGGATACGCCACTGGTGGTAGGTATAGACAATAACGTGCGATATTAACAGTTGATTATAGGATTATCCACACACATTTACACATAAATACGTACTCATGAGGGAATATAGACGAGCCAAAGTAAAATAATTATTTCAGTGGTAGCCTGCTCAATTCGACAGCCATGACTTGGGGACTAGGGTGCAATACGAGATACCCTGCTGTTGCCTACTACTATGAGAATGTATTGTAGGAGTAATGCATTGTAAATATCTATTATGTACATATGTATGTAGTATGTATTGTACAGATATGCAATATATGTATAGGATGTACGTGTATGTGTATAATCGTGGAACTTATCATGTCTCAGCGGAGAATGGAATTTAATGATAGACAGCAGGCAAATTAGACACGGGATTGTCAGCCGAATTCAGTCTGTTCCTTGCTTATAACATATTATAATCATTCTCAACCTACAACTTCAATGTGATCGTCGAAGAATAAATTAGGGTAGAAATAGGAAGATAGTTGACAACAATCAGATGAGTAATGTAATTCAAACATTCGACGATGCAACAATTGTGAAACATGCATGAAATATAATAAGAAATAATGGAAAGTATCTACTGTCTCGATAAAATTGCTTCGGTCGATACGGTAATTTTATCAGTAGTACAAAGTCAAAAATGATTTTTTGAAGTGCTTCGAGGATTGGAAAAGAAAGTTCGCACAAGTATATAATATTTGGTGGAGATTACTTTGAAAGGGGCCAAAATAGATATTCATGAATAAATAAATAATTTTTAAAAAAACACAAAAATCGCGATACTTTTTGAACAAACCTCGTATGTTGTAATTGAATTCATGTTGTTTTACTCTTATCTCTATGTTGTATGTCCCATTCTCCTAGTCTAAGTATAAATAACGAAAAATTTTAAGTTTAGTCTTACAATTATTTACATTTCTGTACTCTTGAAAATGACTGAAAGGGTCAAAACAATTGTTGAGTTGTTTTTATGTTATTGTTAAAACAGTCTTGTGTTTTATTTAAATATCCAATATATTGCTTCGTAAATAATACACCTATGATAATCCTAAATTTGAAGTTCAGGATTTTCATAGCCAGGGAAGTCAATCTAGTCAAGATGAAAAAGCGGTAGACACATAAAATAAAGGATAGCGCAAGTTAGAGTCGCTCTTAACAAGAAAAGGAATCACTGCTGTGGGATGAAAATTCTAAAGATATTATTAAAAGTGAACATATTAAGAGCAAGGCGCTTCGAGGGTGCGAGAAAGAAAAGGTTTAAAGCAAGTGAAATGAGAATGATCTAAATAGGTATCGTGGATAAAAAAGGTTCGAAGTGAGGAGGTAATAGACAGAGTGGGAGAGTTGAAGTCAACAAGATGCAGAAAAAACTCTCCGAAATATAAACGACTAGTTTGAGAGTTCTCTCTCATCTCCATCTTGTTATTTTACACAAAGTTGCAGCAAACAGAAACACATAACGGTTCGTGATCTTCAAAACGTAGTTTTTGACGTGACAACGTCTTATAATTCGATAGAGCCGGCTGCACGCACGAAAAAACATGACTCATGCGGCGTTACCTCGCTCTGAGGCGTTCCATTTAAGGCTTGAAGTGCAAGCGAGAGCGCGGAACGAGCGACAAAGAGGCACAATCGGCCTCCGCGTTCGCCAGCGTTCGACATCTGTCTCTCTCCTGCTTGAGTGAGCGAAGCGTCCGCGTGGACAGCTGCTATACAATAATACATTTACATGTTTTCGTCAAGTATGAAGTGCAGTGAAAAGTGAATGTGGTGTCAATTGTTTATAGCAACGATAATTGCGGCGATAAAGGTAATGATTCTTTCGATATTAAATATATGTTCAGTGATATATTGTCGAATTGCAGCTAGAGTTACAAAAATTTTAATGATGTTTAAAAGTTGTAAATAAAAGTTGTAAAACAATTGCTCAAAGCACATTCATACTTGTAAAAACTATGTACATTGGAAAAAAATAAATAAAAATTGACATAATTGTATTTATGCGTACAAATAAATGTAACTTGATCAATTCAATTGTGATTTCCATTTACCTCCTTCTCTATATCCATACAAAATATCTATCAAACAAATAAAATTAAAATTTCCTTTTGAAAAATGAAACCATTCCATCAGTATTTTTTATGACGTTGTCACGTTCAATTATCGTCAGTAAACCGACTTTACAGACAACCGATATTTTGTAGAAAATTGGGATTTTTATGAAAACGCTATACCACAAAATGATCATTACCTACGAATCATCATATTTCCTGTAAATAAATATTAGTTTTCTTTGTATTTCGGTTTTAGCTTCTTCATCGTCAGATTTTCAACATTTACTGTTTCATTAAATCTAAAATCATTCTGTAAATTTATTGTACTATTCACAACGACAGGTGGAAAGAGAAAGAAGACGAGAATTACCCAACAAACTTCTATTCCAACCCAGATGCCAGCTTCATCAATTACGATGTTAAATTTGCCAACAGGTTGTACGACCTTAAATACATTAGAACGTACGACGCAATTTGAATTTGATGCGATTATCATGTAAGATAATGGCGAAGCGATAGGGCGTTTAATTGGGAAAATAATGGAGACAGGCGAGGAGATAGAATAGTGATGTTCTCGGCCTACGGGAACGATCTGATATGGGATATTGCTAAACAAAAGGTGACGACCTTAAATCGATTAAAGTGAGTGTAGAATGATGTCGTAGAATAAAACGATATCGATATCTGTCAGATGTGATATGTATCTATTGAAAATACTTGGCGAGAACAATTTATAGTTACACAGTAAGTAAAGAAAATCTAAATATATATATAAAATGCTATCACCACCAACTCCTATCAACTTCCCGTTGGGGTGGTAAATACCGCTTGGTCTTCTACTGAAAGTAAGGGAGTTTGGTCGCGGTGGGTGGCGAAAATGTGAAAAAATATATATCTTTCCTTTTCTAACTTATGAGACCTTTTGGAAAGTTCTAAAAATTTCTGAAATGATCCAGAAAACTCCAGAATGTGTGCAACTGTTACATTCGATCTAGAATGTTCTAGAAGGTTCTAAAAATGTCTGGAATGATCTAGAAAGTTCCAAATTGTGTGCAACTGTTAAAATCGATATGGAATGTTCCAGAAAGTTCCAGAAATGTCTGGAATGATTTGGAAAGTTCCAAATTGTGTGCAACTGTTAAAATCGATATGGAATGGTACAGAAAGTTCTAAAAATATCCGGAATGATCTGGAAAGTTCCAAATTGTGTGCAATTAATTATCAAGGATTTCTAGAATTTTCTAGATTTTGTCCAAATATTCTAGAACGATCTGCTATTATTAAGAAATTTTATAAAGGTACAGGGTGGTATCTAAGATAGAAATCAATATTATCTACGTTAAAAAGTGGATCCTTAAATATTTTATATACCATTAAACGTGCGATGTATTTTAACCCTAGCAACGTCGAGTTTCGCTGCTAGTGTTACATAAAATCTGTCAGAATGCGCTAGCCACATCAATGTACAATTATACATCGGACAAATCCACATACCTTTTAATCAACAAATCCATGAGCACAAAATAAGTTTAAATCAGAATATATCGTTAATATTAAAGTTGTGATGCAATCTAAGTGTCTGTTTTAATTAATTTAAGTTATTTAAGAATCGAAAATTAAACAATGCAAATAAGTCTTGTGGGAAACAAGGAGACTGTGGTAAATTAATAAATAAATAAAATAGAAGACTCACCCCAATTACCANAAATAGAAACAGGGAGACTGTGGTAAATTAATAAATAAATAAAATAGAAGACTCACCCCAATTACCATAACATTATGTTAGTGGTTTACATTTTATGGAGCAAAATAAAAGCGTTCATAATTATATTAAAACTGCCATCATGTATTGCTGTTGATGAGTTTCTCCTTTTTTTAGGTACCCATTGACTTAAATGTAATATAAAATAATGATAAACGTTATGTGTGTATCAGTAATATTTCTCTACTTTGGCAATACTTATTTAGAAATCTATTTAAGAAGAAAATGTATTAATGAAAATAATGAGAAACTAATCGATTAAGTGCTTACATTTTTGTAACAATTCTAGTATCTAATTTGATTATCAAAATATGTAATAATATCTGCTTTTGATACCCAAAATAATTGCCAAATTAACTCATTTTAAAGTCTGTCAAAATGGCCCAAATTTATAATGTAATTTAATGGTATTCTGATCATACGTAAATATTCTATTCATATGAGACTTTTACCTTAATTTGCGAATAATTGAAGATAAGGTTTTTAAATGAAAGTACGATAAATTAGCATTATCTAACAGTAGGTAATTTAAATCCACACATATATATGTCTATATACATATAAATAAAATTGATGTTGATGTTTTTAATACCAAAATAAAAGACTCCTTTTCAGTGCATACGGTTTTTTAGAGCAAACAAAAAATTTTGTACGGGTTAATCTTCGAAATGATCGAACTGATTTCGGTAAACCTTTATAATCATGTCTAGGCCACCTATTTTAAATTGTTTAGTGGTTATAACAAGTACATTTATTGTAAATGTCGCTGATAAAAGCTGTAGTGCTATACATATAAAACTACTAAAAAAAGTACACTTACTCTAGAAGCGTCGATAGGGTTTTCTGTCTTATCATGCAACACTGAAGAATCGGTGCAAGAATCGAAAGCTCGTCGTGGAACGGCTTACCAAAACCTCTACCATGATCTAAGTGAAGAGGAAATGTGTCGTTGCCAAAAATTCTGTAAATAAAGAAAGCAGTTATCAGTTTGATGATTCTAGACAAGACGAGTTGGACCTATTATCTCCGGGAACAGAGTCACACCATTTGACTTAATCAGAAACAGAAATGAAATAAAGTTTTGCGGTTATAAATATAAAATAAATATAACGAGGCAGGGGCCATTTTGACAGGAAATGAGGAAAAGGCAGATAGGTGGAAAGAATAATTAGAGAACTTATACGCAGGCCATGAAGTAGGAGATACGAGGTGCGTTCAAAAAATACCCGGAATTGGTCGTTTTTTCAAAAAAATATTTATTTATTCGTCTACTTCAATGCGGCACCCTTCAAAGTAGTCCCCCCCAGATATAATACACTTATGCCAGCGTTTTTTCCAATCTTCGAAGCACTCTTGATATTCACATTTTGGTATGTCCTTGAGCACTCTCAGCGATTCGGCCTTTATTTCTTCAATCGAGGAAAAACGCCGTCCTTTCATGGGTCTCTTCAACTTTGGGAACAGAGAAAAGTCACACGCAGCCATATCTGGTGAATATGGAGGTTGGGGCATGACTACGGTATTGTTTTTGGCCAAAAAATTACGAACAAGCAACGACGAGTGAGCAGGCGCGTTATCGTGGAGCAAAAGCCATGAATTGTTTTTCCATAAATCGGGCGTTTTTTTCGGATTGCTTCACGTAAACGTCGTATAACTTCAAGATAATACTCCTTATTAACCGTACGACCTTGTGGTAAGAACTCTTGATGCACTATGCCATTATAATCGAAGAAAACAGTAAGCAAAACCTTGGCATTTGATTGAACTTGACGTGCTTTTTTCACTCTTGGTGTTTGTTTCATCACTCATTTCATGCCCAAAACATTTGAAAAAATGTCATGACATGAGCCAATTGATATGCCAACTTCATCAGCAACTTCTCTAATTGTGATTCGGCGATCATTCATAACCATTTTTCCACTTTTTTCACATTTTCATCGATTATTGACGTGCAGGGTCGACCGGAGCGTTCGTCATCTTCAACGTCTTCGCGGCCATCTTGGAAACCCTTATACCACTCGTAAACACTTGTTTTTTTCATAGCAGACTCACCATAGGCTTTTTGTAACAGTTCACACACTTTGTTACACTTAATTTCATTTTTTACGCAAAATTTAATACAAATTCTTTGACTCTTCAATTCTTCCATTGTTTAAACAAGCAAAAATCGCCGAGCTCATAAAAATACGTCGAACCTTAGCGACTACCACAGACAAAGTAAACAGTGAATATAGCTGAAAATTTTATCATACTTTAGGGGCATGTATACCAACACAATAAAAAAAAATTTGACAATCGGACTCTCCAGAACACACCTCGTATATTAGAGAAGGAAGATAGTGTGGAGATAGATGAGTTTGGTTATCCCATAATGAGAGAAGAGTTCGATGTAGCATTAAAAAACTTAAAGAATAATAAGGCGCCAGGTGTAGATGGGATACAGGGGGAAATTCTAAAACATGCAGGACAAGAGGTTAGAAATCGTATGTTTAAGCTAGTTAGTCACATTTACGAAACGGGGAAAGTCCCAGAGGATTATAAACGGAACGTACTAGTAACACTACCTAAAAAGAAGGCCGCGGATAGGTGCGAGACATTTAGAACAATTACCTTAACTTCCCATGCGTCAAAAATCTTAACTAGACTTGTACAGAGGAGTATGGAAAAAAGGGCGGAAGAAGTATTAGGGGAAGATCAATTTGGGTTTAGAAGAAATAGAGGACGCGGGAGGCGATTGTAGCTTTATGGTTAACAATAGAGAAAACGAATGAAAAAGGAAAGAGTGCGTACATAGGATTTGTAGATTTAGAAAAAGTTTTTGACAATGTTAAATGGGAGAAGATGTTAAATATACTTAAAAATGTAGTTTTAGGACTGACGACCGTATGATGATGATGATTGGTTTGATTGATATCGATTTTGTTTTGGCATATTTTTTTATCGTGGAAATATTTTGTTACCTGAATGTTTCATAGTGATGTCTGTCCATATTCCCCATAAGAAAATCTAGTACGGCCATGTCCATTAGGTCGTAAAGCCGCCTTCCTTGATCATAGGGTGGAATTTCCTTGACATATGTGCAGTATTTGTTGTCTGTCTCCCATTGTGCTTTCCTTCTTTTATGGTAAGAACGTCTCCATGGATGACGCCATACCTGTAATTACAAGAGAAATGTAATAGTTTGATTTATTAAAATGCATTATTGTAGTAAATCGTAAAGTAACAATAATAAGGCCAATAAACAGCAAAATGTCAGTTTTACATCGCTTCGTCATTGCAATGTATCTTCATCAGACATCCTTAATCACCACTGCACAATCAGACAATTAAAATACAATCCATCAAAAAAGTTATTATGGTTGAGACAGTTAAACGTAATCTTCAAGAGGAAAATCATAAAATACGAGAGATGTTTGCAAAGTTTTGGGAATTTATTATTATTTTGTTAATTTTCGTCAATATTTCAATGTAGTTTTCCAATATAATCTTCATTTAGCTGAATATATTTATCCCAACGATAAAGTAATTTAAGTCGTCCTCAAAAAACTCTTTCGGTGTCTCCTCAATCCACCTATTTATGACACGTTTTACGTCAGTTAAACTTTCAAATTGAACACCCCGTAAGGGTTTTTTCAAATTTGAGAACAGATAATAATCATTGAGTGCAAGATCTGGGGAATAAAGTGACTGCGGAAGTAATTCCTATCATAAATTATTCAAAACATCTTTCGTTTTTCTTGCGTGTGTTGTCCTGTTAACTTTCCAGGCCGTGCTATTAAATTCGAATAATATTCTGCGTTAATTGTAGTACCTTTCGCCAGATAATTCATAAAAATAATCCCTTCGCAATCCCAGAATACACTAAGCATTACCTTTCCAACAGACGGAATTGCACGCGCCTTCAGTGGAGGCCCTTCTTCAAGTTAGCGCCATTTTTTGGATTGGCTTTTGGTTTCAGGATTGAAACAAGGAATCCACGTTTCGTCAGTGGTTATTATTCGTTACTAAAATTCATCACCGTAATGAGCCAACAATTCTTGAAATTGACGACAAATTTCAGATCTATTGAGTTTCTGTTCAGACCCCAACAGCCTTGGCGCCTAGCGCACCGAAAGCTTGCTAACGCCCAAACAATCATACAAGATGTCATGAACTTTTTTTTATTTTATTTTGGATGTTTCATTCCCACCAGCCAGTAATGCTGGTGGACGGGCAGTCCCTCCGGGCTATGCTGGAAGGTAGGGCGGAAGGCCCTCTTCAGCCTGCTTTCAGGAATCGTGGGAATGGGTGGGTGGTGGTTTGGGTGAGAAAGATGAGACGGACGAAATGAAGACAGAAGAGAATGAAAGATTATCTGTGGAATATTACTGCCTCAGTATTTGCCTAAGTGGTCCAAGAAAACCACAGAAAAACTTGGACCAAGGCAGACGGGCCCGGAATCGAACCGGCGTCCTCCCGAATGCCAAGCAATGGTCTAAACCTCTAGGCCCTGCCGCTCATGAACTTGCCGTGTACCTATACCTAGGCGTACACTAATTCAACGAATAGTCATTCGCCTGTCCTCTTTCAGTAGGTCTTAGAACTGAGACGGCAGTAATGTTTCTTTCATTTGAAACGATCGATCCATCGATAAACAGTACTTTTGAATTCTGCAGACTCACCAAATACTGCTAGCAGTACCTGAATTATTTCTGATGTTTTCACACCTTCTTCCCTAGACAAAAATTTTCAGTCTCTCTCCAGTCTCTCAGAGTCTTTCAGCGTCTCTGAGAGCGTCTCTCACAGTCTTTCACAGTCTCTCAGTTATTGCCTAGGTGTTTTTATGGATCTCTCACAGTCTCTGTATGAGAGACTCGAACGATAAAATTGTTAATTCAGAAATTCGAGTCTTTCACAGAGAGACTGAATGAATAAAATTGAAAAATTGAGAGACTCTAGTCTCTCGTAGAAAGACTAGGATCTCTAAAATATGTTGAACTTAAAAAAGAGATTCGATTCTCTCGTTCAGAGATTCGAGTCTCTCGTTCAGAGATTCGAGTCTCTCGTTCAGAGACTGGGTACGAAATGAGGATCTCTCTATGAGCGACCCGAGTCTCTTGTTCAGAGACGCTAAACAGCTTTTTTGACAGTCTGTCTCATAGACACCAGAGAGACTCGATGAGAGACGGAGACTCGAGTCTCGCTTTCAGAGACTCTGAGAGACTGAACATTTTTATCTCGGGTTTCCACAAAAAGAAAATTAGTTCTCTTTGAGATGCTATGTCTTTCATGGTTACAAAAACAGTGCTATGATAAGGCATTTATGAGTAAAACACATAAATCAGACTGAACAATATTGCACTGAACAGTTGCATAAACACGTCAAGACTTCTCTGGCACCTATAACATTGCCTACATGTTCTGCGTAATTTAATTATCGCACAATTCCCAGAACTTTGGAAACATCCCTCGTATAAATACATCAGTCACGTTTTAAACGTGTGAATATTGCTAAAGATAAAGAACAAGTGAATGTTGAAGCAAAATGGTAGTGGATTTTATTTTTCATTAACAGAGAAACTTAAAAAAAAGAATGGGCATGAGGAAGAAAGGTAAAAAGCATTATGAGAATTGAAACTAAGACATCAGGAGGTTGAGTGAATGGGGTATGGTAAGATGACGAGGGTAAGATAATAAGAGGGGATGATTTGGGAAGTATCAACAAGTCAAATTGTGCAGTATGTATAAAGGCCTTGATGTGGGATCATTGGCAAGGGGATTGTGTGTCACGGCATATAAAGGGGAAGAAGGGTGTGGTTGTAATAGCAAGGTTCGGAATGGGAAATCAATGTAGAGGGTGTAAGTATTAGATGAAGGAGGTTGAAAGGCTATGCAGAATGTGTGAAAAGAGGGAAGAATCATTACTGAGTGTGTTGGCAGGATGTGATAAAAATAAAGTTTTGGAGAAACGTAGTGATTTGTTAACTGAGTGGTGATGGTTTAGCTGTATTGAATGAAATAATTGAATGAAGAAAAGGTTTTTGTTAAGGAAGGGTATTCAATTTTTAAACATGTGTTCATTTTTTTACGTTTATTTTGAACACATTCTTTAAATGTATTGAACTTGCTTTAAACAAGTTTTTTTTATTGCGGTATATTGATGAGCTTAGCTAGTTGTGTTTTTAACAGTGCTTACAATATGCTTTAAAACACTGCTTCCCCATGAGATGTTATCTTTCTTTGATGTTTACTTATAACCAATGTTTAATATGTGATGTTTTTCTTTTGAATTCAATAGTTCAAAACATTTTAATTGGAGACAATGTTTTATTTAGATTGTGTTTTAAACACTTTATTTTAAATATGCAAACCTTTAAGCAAGGGTTAAGTTTTTCTTTTTTCTTATTTTGGTTGATGACCGTTTGTTTGCTGTTTTTAATCCCTTTCGGTCAGCTTTAAATATTTAGTGCGGAGGTCATAATTTACGAGGTTTGTTCAAAAAGTATCGCGAATTTTGAATTTCCGCGAGTTACGTATATTCGATTTTGCATTTTTTTTTTTTTGGCGTTATGTTGGTACTCATGCCTCTCGCTTATACCAATAAGTTCGGCCATGTTGAATGTTCAGTTAATTTTTGACAGCTGTTTTGCTTGCACGTGTTTTGGCTTGTTTTCGATTTTTACCTATTCCAAAGAATGGATCAAAGAATCTATCAAATTTTGTGTGAAAAACAGAATTAAGTGCCGCGGACGAATTCCGAATGTAGACTGTGGCATATGGTGAAACTATCTTGGACCCAAACAACGCTTATCGGAAGTACAAAATGTTCTTAGAGGGTCGAGAAGATGTGAACGTCGAAGAACGTGCAGGACGCCCGAGCACGTCAATAACAGACGTAAACATTGATCAAGTGAAGAAAATAATATTGGCCAATCGTCGAACCACCGTTAGAGAAGTTACTGAAAACGTAAACATATCGATTGGCTCCTGAAATGCGATTTTTACCAATGATTTGGGCATGAGCTGTGTAATTCGAACCAAAATTGCTCAATTTCGATCAAAAACAGCAACGCATTAACATTACTAAGGAACTGTTGGACTCTGTCCGTGGTGACCCAAATTTGCTCCAGAGGGTCATAACTAGTGACGAAACATGGGTTTATGGTTTTGACGTGGGAACCAAAGCTTAGTTATCCCAATGGAGGCTGCCGCATGAGCCAAGACCAGAAAAAGCGCGCCAAGTTAGGTCGAATGTGAAGGTTTTGCATACAGTTCTTTGATTGCAGGGGCGTGGTGTATTATGAGTTTTTGCCACAGAGTAGAACAGTCAATAAGAAATATTACCTGCAAGTATTTCCCAGATCTGGCTCTCTGTGATTTTTTGACGTGACAACGTCTTATAATTCGATGCTGCACGCACGAAAAAACATGACTCATGCGGCGTTACCTCGCTCTGAGGCGTTCCGATTAAGGCTTGAAGTGCAAGCGAGAGCGCGGAACGAGCGACAAAGAGGCACAATCGGCCTCCGCGTTCGACAGCGTTCGACATCTGTCTCTCTCCTACTTGAGTGAGCGATGCATCCGCGTGGACAGCTGCTATACAATAATACATTTCCATTTACCTCCTTCACTATATCCATACAAAATATCTATCAAACAAATAAAATTAAAATTTTCTTTTGAAAAATGAAACCATTCCATCAGTATTTTCTTATGACGTTGTCACGTTCAACTATCGTCAGTAAACCGACTTTACAGACAACCGATTTTTTTTGTTACCGAAACTGAAGACCAGAAAGGACGACGCTACGCTACGATTGAGGAGGTGAAGGCGATATAGAAGGAGGAGCTGGACAAGATCACAAAAAATAATATTTTGAAGTGTTTCAAAGATTGGAAAGAACGTTGCATGATATCTGGTGTGGATTATTTTGAAGGGGACAAAATAAGTATTTATTAATAAATAAATAATTTTTGAAAAAACACCAAATTCGCGATACTTTTTGAACAGACCTTGTATATGTAAGAAAATGAGTAGTTCTAGGCATCAAGGAGCCTACCTCATATTTTCATGAAAAATTTAGTATTTGCTAATGGAACTAATGGATAATCGGTAGCCATTGTATTATTACCTTATCTACCATCTCAGTATATTCACACAAATACATGAATATTTAAAATTACAAATAAATAAACATTTTCAAATGTTCAAATATGTGGATATATATATGTTTTTATACTAGCAAGGTCAGACCAAGACTTAACGAACAAGAACAAGACTAATACCAAAACCAAATACGCAAGACTAAACGAAAAATTATTACTAAATTATTAAGCTATTTTAAGCTATTTGTTTTACTATATTTTAACACTATTTAAGAAAAAAGAAACTTTACCATTGTTTGAAGGATCTACAAGAATGTTCTTGTTACAGATTTATGTTATAGTTTAATTTGTTGGAAACATTTTTAATCCTGTTGGGTAGGTATATCGAACAACTGTTTTTCCTTACCTTCCTCGGAGCAAATTCCTTAGACGGTAGAAATGCTGCAAAACTGCCTTCCAATTCGTCGGGATTGCCACAAATTGCATGAGAAGTGTCACAATAATAGGAGCATTTCCCATGAAAGCATAAATTATCGGACGGAGAAATGAAAAATGTTTTAAGTAGATCACCATCGGCCACTTGGTATATTTCGCTTGTCATATTTAGAAGTCGACCTACCACTGGCACGGACCTTCTAAAACCCAAAATTCTGAAAACAAAGAAACCTCATTAATTAATTATTATTATTAAGACAACATTTACAACTGTGACGTGAAAAATTAGGTCTCGACGACGTTGTTAGTTCAAAAAATATAGATTTTATAATGTTAGTTTTCTCTTGCCGTGAATACACTTCCTTTCAGAGACGGTTAAATTTACCTAAGATGTAAAGCTTTTAGAATAAGCGTTTAAAGTAAAACCACCAACAGTGGACACTTCATATGAATGGGTTTATCGTTATAAGGCCGTCAGTCCTAAGACCAGTGGTGTTGTCGAGCCGGAACGCTCCGGAACGTCGTTCCGGTACTTCCTTTTTGGACAGGAACGTGTTCCGGAACTAAAGATGATTTCTGATAACGAGAATTGGCCGACGTATTGAAAAAAAAATTAAAAAGAATTGCTGATTTTTTTTCTAATTTTTGACGAATTTTTATATGTATTATTATAAACAAGGGTTTGAACCGAACCCGAACCGGAACAAAAACCGGAACGAACCGGCTTGTTTTTCCGAACCGTGAACCGGAGTCCGGAACGTTTTTTTTCTGCTGAACCGGAACTCGAACCGAACCGAAACAAATACGTGAACCGGTTTTTGAACCGGTTCAACGGGAATTAAACTTTATTTATAATAAACATTAGAAGAAAAAAATATGAAATTTTAAAAAAGTAAAGATAAATTTTAATACAAGCGGCCCACGGACCGTACTTTACTCATCCCTGGCATAGTTTATTGCCATACCCAAAGCCTGCGGCTAATGCTAAGAATTTTTATTATACAGTTGTTGTGAACTAGAATTTCCAGATGTTGGTTTCCAGTATTGGTAGATGTTTTAAACTTTATTAGTTTATTACAGTGATGCTAAGAAAAATGCCGACAAACGTACCGATTTTCATCTGAAATGTGCATTGCTGGGAAATTCCCATCTTTGTAGTTTGTTAGTTTGTGCATCCCCCACCCTTAGTGTAAGAATATATACATATACATATACACAAAATGGGTGTCGTAATGATTGTCGTTTCCTTTCCATTTNGTAAAAGGTTTTACATAATTTGTATTTATAAAAAGAAACATCTTCTCAAAAACTAAAGGATTTGCTTCTAAAAAAAGGAATGTAGGTTCACAACAACTTTTCACGCTCTTTTCAACTTTTCAGTAGCTGCCCAGGCATCACACAGCTTGTAACGTAAAAAATTATGTATTTGCAGAACTATAGTAGAATGAAGATTCGGGCTATAGGGCCGTGGTCTAAGTGAACTATTCTCTCCAGACGTTTCCTCAGTTACTGCGGCTGACATCGAAGTCTCGACAGCGACTCTCAGTCGCACTACCACTGAGGATGTCAGCTGCAGTAGCTGACGAAACGTTTGGACAGAGTAGTTCACTCAGATCGCGGCCCTACAGATTCCGGCCGTGAAAGCCTTTGTTCTTATATTATTTGTAGAACTGTTTTTGTGCTAAAAGGACTTGTATAAGTAGTGTTTAGTTGTGTGGTCCCAGTGTGTTGTGCTTGTTATGGCTGATATAGGGCATTTACGTACAAGAAAATATTACAAAACCAAAACGTACACCACGAGAATCAGATTTTATAATAACGTTATTTAGATTTGAGTGGGAGAATGTTGTATGGTTGACGAACCACTTTCTTGGCACGTTATTGTGCGAACTATTTTAAATTTGGTAACTTTCAATACTACGTACACAAGTAAATCAGGAATGTATTAAACAAATAAAATAAACAGCTGTTACGAAACACACACACACACACGTTGATTGCACAGTGCAAATTTCAACAAGTTGGTCGAAATCGGTAGGTACCAATCGGAAGCAAAAGGTATAGATTATGAATACGAATTGTAGCAAAAGTTTTTTACTTCTACCTTTAATTGAAAGTAAATGTTTTATTTTTATAAATACGGCCTACTGACTTTCTTAGCACCTTCTGTTTTCCTGCTCTTTCTAATACATTTTACTTTCGTTTTTTTTTTCTGGCGCACCCACTAAAGAAAAGAAGTTTGGGATTTTCAAGAAAAATTATTGTCACACATTTTCGCTTATATTGTCTTGTTAAAAAACAAACATTTTCAGCTAAATGATTGAGTATAATCTTCACTTAGATAATAACGCTTCAGTTTGGATTATAATTTAAACTATTTTTTATTCAGAATATTCCCTAAGGATGTGAAATTCAATTAACTGTTGGCATGTAAAAACCGAGCGCGTGGATTCAAGGAATAATTCATTAAAATTAATGAGGCTTCGCTAATGATTGTGTGTAGGATTTAAACAAAATCAAGTCTAAGTAATTTTTTTCCCAGCTAAGAGTAGGTAGGTAGGCAGCAGGCACCTACCTTTGAAAAAGATATAATGTTACCTAATTTGTCCGAATACCCTAGACAAAATTTTTCAGTCTCTCTCCAGTCTCTCAGAGTCTTTCAGCGTCTCTGAGAGCGTCTCTCACAGTCTTTCACAATCTCTCAGTTATTGCTTAGGTGTTTTTATGTATCTCTCACAGTCTCTGTATGAGACACTCGAACGATAAAATTGTTAATTCAGAGATTTGAGTCTCTCACAGAGAGACTGAATGAATAAAACTGAAAAATTGAGAGACTAGAGTCTCTCGTAGAAAGACTGGGATCTCTGAAACTGAACTTACAAAATTTTAACCATGTCTATCGCGACACCACTTATTGAGATATTGGAGTCTCTAGTTCAGAGATTCGAGTCTCTCGTTCAGAGACACTAAACAGTTTTTTTGACAGTCTCTCTCAGCGACGCCAGAGAGACTGGATGAGAGACGGAGACTCTAGTCTCGCTTTCAGAGACTGTGAGAGACTGAACATTTTTATCTCGGACAATTCGCAAATTTATTTAATGCAATTCAATACAAAGTTAATCTTTATACATAATGTTCACGAGAAATGCTTCAAACATTCGGGCGCAACTGTATTTCTGTATTCAGCCATCCTACTGGTTGGGAGCAGTTGAGATATAGAACAGAAGATAGGACAGGGTCAAATCGCCCTTAATGAAAAGAAGTCACTTTTATGCTCGCGAACGATTAATTTAGAAATTCAGAAAATATTATTAAAGGTGTTTGTCTGGAGTATGGCGTTAAAGTGAGAAATGTGGAAGGTGGGTGCGGCGGAAAAGAAAAGGTTAGAAGCGTTCGAAATGTGGTGTTACGAGCGAATGATGAGGATACCGTGCATAGGAAAGGTTAGAAATGAAGAGATATTGGAAAGAGTAACAGAACAGATGAAGGCTACTCGATAAATACGAAAATTACCGAGCGACATGGCCTAGAGGTTTGGATCATTGCTTAGCATTCGGGAGGACGGTGGTTCGATTTCGCGTCTGTCTGCCTTGGTCAAAATTTATCTGTGGTTTTCTTGGATCACTTAGGGAAGTGCTAGGGCAGTAATATTCCACAGATAATCTTTCATTCATTTATTCTGTCTTCATTTCGTCCGTCTCAACTTTCTCACCCGAACCACCCACCCATTCCCACAATTCCTGAAAGGAGGCTGAAGAGGGTCTTCCGCCCTACTTTCCGGCGTAGTCCGGAGGGACTGTCCGCCCACCAGCGTTACTGGCTGGTGGGAATTAAACACCCAAAAGTTTTTTTTTGTGAAGATGGACTAAAAATAAGAAACGGAAATGTGTGTCCAACGAGTTTTCGGTGTGAAGACCATATGATGATGAGATGCAGTCGATTAATGTAAGAAATCGATTTTTTGGCTCATAAAACCGTGATTTATTTGGTGTAGTCTAAAAAAAAATGTATACTTTCTCTTATAAATAATATAATTATCTTTTCAACTAAGTTTAATTTATTTAGTAGATACTAGTAGTAGTAGCAGTAGTAGGTACAAATCATTTATTTAACTTTCGTCAAAAAAGAGAACTAAACTAATTTTAATGAAAGACACAACATTAAATGGAACGGATTTACTCAAATCAAATGGCATTGGTTCACGCAAAGGTCAACGATTAAGCTCTTTGATCCGGCTAATAGCTCGGCTTGTTATTTATTAAGATTTAATTATCGTGAAAAAGCTAGGAAATATATTGCTCGAGGATGTCTCGATTTCAAAGCTATTTAAAGAATACTTGTATAATACATTGACAAGAACTTTCAGAAAACCAATAAAAAAGAAAATTTGCTTGTAAATTTTAATTAGCTTCTTGCTTTTTGTGACTCTTAGGACAAGGTTTTTTTCTAGGGCGAAAAACTCCTATTTCTTTGATATTAATGTTATATTCTTTGACTTGACGTTGAGACTGTATTGGTAATGTAATTCGTATTTTCAACTAAATGTTATTAGAGGAATTGTTGAAACGTCAATTTTTTCTGCTGGTGGATCATCTTTCATGTTCATTTGTTTAATAGAAACAGAAATAATGGTAAAGGTCTAGATGATGGCCCCCACCCCCGAAGGGGGTGGGAGTGGGTGGGATCGAAAGAGGTCTCCCCCACCACTGTATCATAAAAATTTTGTGGCGGTCTCACCCCCATAAAGAGTTATGGGGGTTAGATGATGGCCCTCCACCCCCGAAGGGGGTGGGGGTAGAGTGGATCGAAAGAGGGTGGTTACCTGAGTAAAACCCCATAAAAAATTTGCGGCGGTCTCACCCCCATAAAAAGTTATGGGGGTTGAAAGTTGATTATTTTGACAATTTTCATACACTATAATTCAAATAAAATTCAATAAAAAAAATATTTTCAAGCGGGTGGAGGTGGGGGATCGAAAGAGGGTGGTCACTTGAACAAAACTCGACAACCTAACCTAACCTACCCTATTGATAAAGATATTTAAATAATGTTTTATATAACTTTCTCAATATTTTTATGTATTTTTCATTAATTTTACCTTTGAATATTGTTTAAGAATGACTATATAAATATTTACATGCCTAGACATGTATAAAGACTGGCATATTTATTAACTTTGAACCTCTATAACTTTTTATGGAGGTGAGACCGCCAC